GGCCCCTCCGCCTGCTGCTGAAGCTGGGTCCCGCGGGGCAGGGGGGGCAGGGGGAAGGGGTTGATTCTAACGACCCTGCGGGTTTGGGGTGGCACCTCCCTGCCCCTGGGGCTGGGCCCCGCCTGCTGGCCCCTGGGGGAGGAGGGGTCCCCTTTACTCCTTAGGTTTGGTTTCTTACAAGATTGATTTATTAACTATGATACAAGTCACATAAGGCCTTTTCAGGGTTTGACACCGTTCCCACTGAGACAAGTACAAGACTTTGTAGCAAATACATGATTTTAAAAAACAAAACCAAATGCAAACACCTCAGCTGAGATGCCGCGGCCTCTGTCCGGCCGCCCATGCACTAAATCAGCTTGGAGCCTCAACAAACCCCACAACGTGTCCAAAGAAAAGTCTAGTGAGTCAGCAAACACTCCTAACATCGACTAGAGACGTCCTGGCTAGCGCCTGGAGGCACAGAGGTCACCGTGTCACCGTCGCCACACAGTTCTCCACTTCCGCTGCGCGACAGAACATGGGGCGCACGGCCGGACTACGAACACATTTCAATACCATCAATATGCTTGTTTTCCTCTGGAAACGCAAAATACCTGTTAATTCAACATATATAAAGATCATTTAACATGTGAAAATACAAGCACCAGAAAAATAAGCTGGCAGCAGCACTATTCCAAATTTTCAAACAAGTTTTATTCCCATACAGTTCAGACATTGCCTTTTTTTTTTTTTTTAATGTACACAGGGAACAGGTTTCTTTTTTATGCAAACAATAACTTATGCCCTGTCTTGACTACAATGGAAGTGTAACGTCACTGCTGTGGTAGGTGAGGGTGGCTGGGGCAGGCGGTGGCTGCTGACAGTGGCCCCCAGGTGGGGAGGCGGGCCCAGACTCCCCCCTACGTCCTCTGGGCTTCGAGTCTGGCCTTCTGTAGTGTGGTCAGCACACTGTGATGTGGCCTGAAGAGCCTGTCCCCTTTTCACCTAAGAGCAAACAAGTGGCTTGTACCTGCCAAGCAATGGGAGTGGACCCCCTGGCCCACGTTTGCAGTCAGCAAGGTGGGGAGCGAGCCCGGCGGCCCGCTGAAGCCCGGTCCCTCCACCGCGACACCGCGGAGCCTGGTCCCTGGCACCCTGCCTGCAGCTTCTCTTGGGAAAGCGGCACTTAGCAGCACTTGTTCTAAGCAAACACCCAAAGTAGTGTGATCTTCCGCCCTGGAGAGGAACGGGGCAGGGGAGCACGGGGGGCGATTCTGGTCTAGGGACGTGCACACCCCAGGATGCCACGGCCGGGGGACAGAGAGCAGGCCCTTCCCACCCCGTCCCCTCCGACATCTGCTCCTGTGGTGTCGCCCTCTGGCCACGTGGCAACACAAACTCCCCAGCAGGGGTTCCCGCCGGCGGCAGGAAGACAGACATGTGTCGCAGGAAACAGGTCTCGTGGGTGCTTGTGTGGTAACCCCCCAGACTGTCGGGATGGGAGAACACGTGACAGACGCATGGACCAATGTGGTACAGGACCCAACATGCAACACAGGCCAGGACCCTCCCAGGTGGAACCCCAGAAAACCCTGGAGCTAGCACGAGCTGACAACTAAGGGCCCCGTCTCTCCGGCGGCGGTGACTCCCCGCTAGCACTGGGGGAGGGAGAAGAGGAAGTGGGCCTGGATGAACACAAGCGGGTAGCCCACCACGTAAGGCCAGCTGCCCCCGCCCCCTCCTCCGCCCTTTTGGTCCAGGCTGAGTGACGGGAAGCAGAGGGAGCACCAGCGAGAGGCCGGGGGTCCCCCCGCCCCGAGATGCAGCACCCAAGGAACTGCTGGGGGGGAGAAGGTCCAGGCTGTCCGTCCTGCCACTCCTCACCCAAGGCCTCACTCTGGCATCAAGAGCACACGGCCCAGCTCCCCACTGTCCCCTCCTGGCCAGCGGAGACTCTCAGAAAAAGCCACCTACCAGTGCTGCCTGTCACCTCTGGCATATGGAGACGTCACAGAGACAGGAGCCAGCTCTGAGTTTACCATCAAGGGCGCTCATTCCACCGAATGGGGGGCTCCCTCCTAGCACTGGATAGAGGTGGGAGGAGACAGAAGTAATGGGGTGGCGAGCTGGGGGCTAGAGCCGAGACCCTGGCTAGTGGCTTGGGGGACACAGCCCCGTGTGCCAGCACAGAGGCGACAGTGTCAGCGTCAGCGAGCGGACTGGACAGCCCCTTGAAAGGCTGGCGGGCAGTATGACGACGGCCCTGAGGAGGGTGGGGTGGAACGAAACCAAGCTGTTTCCCCGTTGCCCAAGCTCCGAGCCACCAACCTCAGCCAGGGCCCAGCCGGGCTCAGCCCCACCCGCAGGCCTCGGGACCGAAGCCATCGCCCACTGACACGTGCGCGGTGAAGAGTGTTGTGTACCTGGGGCTCGTTTTGAATTTGCGTTTGGAGCGGTGGGACACCCAGCAGGGGCGACTCTGTTTTTCCAAGCACCTTGTCTGTCACACAAACAGCTGACGGGGACAGCTGGGGAGCACAGTGCACCGCTCCCTCCGGCGGCCGGAAGAAGGTGCTGGGGGTAGTGGGGGCCTAGAGCCATTGGGAGGCACCTCTTCCCTGCTCAGGCCACCTGGCCAGAGCCACAGGGCATCCTCGGGCCATAACCACAGATCCTGCTTCTTAAAGTGCAAAGAGACCGGGGAGGATGGGTTGCAGGCAATGCCTTTGGCCCCACCTCCCTCAGGCCCAGCCCTGGGGGTCAGTCCCCCCACGGTCCAGGGTCCAGGCCACAACCCAGCCCCGAGGACAGCGGAGACTGGCCGTGGGGGTGGCCAATGATGCGGATGATTGGCAGGGCTGTTGTGGGTGGGGCAGGCCAGAGAAGGTCTCGGCAAGGCCACAGGGGGCAGTAGTGAGCGCTCAGAAGCCAGCCCTGCTTTCCTGATGGCTGCCTGCTTGGGGACCAAGAAGGACCCCCACTGGGAGGGGTTCCCTGCATACCACCCGCCTCCCAGATATGCCTGCCTGCAGCTGGTGGTGTTCTACCCCTCAGAGAAAAGCCCCCCATCACCAAACCCACTGCCCAAGTGCACACTGCCCTCCCCGTCCCCTCCCCACACTCACACCTCGACAGGCACACACGCACACACGCTCACACACATGCACAAGTAGTGTATCCACGGCAACGTAGTGTGTTCAAGGCAGCCCAGCACCCCAGCTGGCCAGCCCCGTCTCCTCAGCCTCGGTGGGCTCAATGCTGCCTTCTGGGGTGGGGGGACCGGTGGCAGGACAGAGGCGGGCCCCCAACAGACTCTCAGGTAGCGCCGTTGAGGCTTCTTGGTTTGCTGTCACAAGACAAGGGCCCCCCTCCACCTGGCTGCTGCCAGTAGAGGGGGGGAGACTGGAACTGGAGGGGTCTGTAGTTTTTGTCCTTTTTCCAAATTTTGGAGGGGCTGTCCCTTTTTCTTCCAGTGTCCCTCTGTGGTGAAGGGCTGTATCCCGAAGCCCAGGCTGACCTGTGGGGAGGGGTCGCACTCCCGTGGTCCAGGTGGCGGGCAGACTCAGCATTGTACCTGGGGGACTGCAGTGAGGCAGAGTCACACTTCCATGTTCCCAAGGAGGCTGCTTGAGAGCCCAGAGCCCCAGCGGGGGCAGGGAGACAGTGTGTGTGGGGGGCATGTCCTCTTCGGGGCCGGCCTGGATCCCGGCACCCCGACTCCACCTGCCAGGCCCAGTCCACACTGTGTCTGTATAAGCGGTCGGCGAGCCCAGGGGCTGGTGCACGCAGACGGGCAGCGCTGGGGGCTCTAGGCCTGCTGCCTCCCTCCCTCGGTCCTCAGGAGTCCAGGTCAAAGGGCAGGCCCCCGCGGCGGTGGCCTCCAGCCAGCCCTAGGGTGGTCTGCACGCGGCTCGGGGCCCGACAGCCCCGCCCGTTGAGACCCTAGGCGGTGCTGCTGCTGAGGTCTCCGGAGGGTGATGGGGGGACCTGGCCGCGTCCAAGGCCAGACGCCACCCTGTCGGAGGGAAGAGTGGTGCCCAGCGCCCGAGGCTCACAGCGTGTGCTCGGCTTGCAGCTGGGAGGGCAGCAGCGGGGACTGCGGGGCGGGTGGAGGCGACTGGGGTGGAGATGGCGGGCTGGTGACGGGCGTGGGGGCGAGGAAGGGGGCGGCGGCGGCGGCGGGGGAGCCAGGTGCGGCCCCGGGGGCGTCACTGATGGGCCGGTTGTGGAAGAAGAACGGGCACTGCTGGATGAAGAGCTCGATGATTGTCTGGTAGGTGCGCGTGGCCGTCAGCGCATCCACGGTGCTGAAGTCGGGCCGCATCAGCGTGGGCCAGAAGCAGATGGACAGGTTCTCGCTGGTCATGAGGTTCACCTTATTGTTGTGGCTGACTCTGCGGGGACGCCAACGCCACAGCCTGAGTGCTCCCTGCCACCCTGCACCCCAGGCTGCTCTCCGCAAACCCCGAGGAGGGACTGACAGGGCTCAGGGACTCGCTCACTGGCCCAGACCCTGCAGGGGGCCAGCACGTCTGCGCCAGGCAGGCTGTCCCCCAACCGCAGTAGTTCTGCGCCCCATCCCCGTCAGGAGGGTGAGAGGTCTGCCCTGAACACGAGCCTGTCCGTCTCCCACGAAGCCTGGAGTGCCTCTGCCCGCAGCACTGGCAGCCTGCACGGAGGCGGCCTCCCCACCCCCCGCCCCCCTGCCTGGCCAGGCCCCCAGGGCACACTAACAGCGGACAGGTGGCCTGCGGGGGCACCTATGCTGTCTTGGGATCAGAAGCACATTCTGGGAGCATCCCTCCCAGCCAGTGGATCTGAGCCCGTCAGCCAGGGGGGGCTAGAAGAGAGCTCTAAAGGCTGCCTCCTACAGTGTGTGCTGGGCGCCTGGCGAGGCCACATGTGGCCCTGCTGCACAAGGGCCTGCCACGCCAGGCCACACCCGGCACCCTGGGTGGGCGACGGTCCCGGCTGCTGGGCGCCGTCGGGGAAGCATGCTGTACCTACCTGTTTAGGTGTGAGATGACGTATTTGAAGACTTCGTGGTTCTCCTTCGGGAACTTCTTCAGCACCTCCTTGAGGGCATGTAACTTCTGCTCCCGGTCGTTGATTTCTGAGGAAAGGACAAAAAAAGACTCTCAGGGCCCAGGCTGGTGGGTGTCTTGCCATGCTGGTGAGCCCAGCAGACCGGCGGGCACCTGGGCACATGCTCTCTGCTGGGCCTCACCCAAGGCCGGCCTGTTCCGTCCCCTGAAGCCCGAGCACAGGCCGCACACCTGGCGGTGGTGGGACCCCCACCCAGCCCCACCTGTCCTGTTGGAGGGAGCACAGTGCACTGGGGGCTTCCGGCCCCCCACCCCGACGGAGCGATCCACAATGATGCCACCATAAAGAACAGCATTCTTCGCTCATCCGGTTGCCCTGGGAGACGGGATCCCAATGCAGAAAGCCTGGCTGCTTCCTGCCCAGACGGGCGATGCGGCTGCCCGCCCACCCACGCCAGCAGACTGTCTAGGGAAGAGCCGTCACAAGACCAGGGCTCTGTCCCTTCCCCAAGCACTCGTCTCCCTGTAGGGGGACTGGTGAAACAGTGGGGGTTTCTGTGCAGCTTGTCAAAGGCACCGCCCCTCCCCCACTCTCCAACCCTCATGGAATCTTAATGGATCGGCAGCAGAGGAAGCATGCCAATGCCAACCAAGGGCTACGACACGCCAGGCCCAGGCCAGTTGGGCCTCGCTGACCCCCAAGGCTGGGCCTCTGATCAGCCCGTTGCCCGGATGGGTACCTACAGCCCAGAAGCCGAGTCAGCTGCCTGAGGTCGTGGAGAGAACAGGCTGCGGTGCTCCCCAGGCTGCAGAGCCTGGGCTGTGGCCACCAGGCCTCCCAGGGGCCTGCTGTCCCCGGCACTGGGCCAGCCTGCCTCAGCCCAGTGAAGCCAACACGGTCAGGGACCGCTGGGTCAGCACTGGGCCAGATGGCCGTCTCCTCGGGTGGCAGGAATTCCTGAAGGAGTCCAGGTGTGGTAGCTAAGCTTATGTGTCACCTTGGCTGGGCCCGGTTTGTCTGGGCAGCTGGATGTAGTTATTCCCCATGGTGGGATCTGACAACCAGCTCCATGTGGAATCTACTGTGAGCAGCTGAGTGGCTACTTTAGGGACACGGTCTGCTCCCGGAGATTTGGTCTGTAGCTTTTCGGCACGCCTGGACCCTGCACGTAGCTGGGTCATGTTCAGCAGCCTGCCATGCACTGCCTGTCGATCTCGGGACCTTCTCTGGACTTGAATTAGTTGTCTACCATGTTATTTGGTGATAGCGGGACTGTGCCTGTTTACTAGTTGACCTTGGGCTTGTCAGCCTCAGCAGCCAACAACTGCCTGAGTGAGGAGAAGCTTCCATCTTCAGTGGGCTGGGAGCAGGAGGCAGAGCTGAAGCCCAAAGTTGAAGGGCTTTCACCCAGCCCCTAGAGCCTGGCACTTTGAACTCAGACTTCTAGCCTCCAAAAATAAAAAGAATAAATTCCTATTTGTTTAAGCCATCCAATTGTGATATATTCCTGTCAAAGGGGCACTAGGAAACCAAAACATCAGGATTCCAAGGCTCCAAAGACCACCGGTGGGACCAGCCTGACGACCAAGCAGCAGTTCACCTTACCCAGGAGAGAACACCTGCCTGAGCACAGTGTTCTCATCAGAACGCTCTCAAAGGCATCACATGACAACAGGAGCTCCAAAGACCCAACAGGACGCTCAGGGGGCAGGGAGCTCATGTGAGCGGGGGAGGAACGGTTCTGCAGAGGAGCAAGAAGGGCCACACGATACCCAGAGTGTGATCTGTGTCACTGGTCTGCTACGTGTGGCAGCTGCTGCACTGGGATCTGCCCTAGTGTATATTCTCAACAACAGAACAAAACAGCCCAGGCGGGAAGGACGAGGGTGCGGCCGCAGGTGGGAGGCGGGAAGGACGAGGGTGCAGCCGGGGGTGGGAGGCGGGAAGGACGAGGGTGCAGCCGGGGGTGGGAGGCGGGAAGGACGAGGGTGCAGCCGTGGGTGGGAGGCGTGAAGGACGAGGGTGCGGCCGCGGGCGGGAGGGTATGCTCTCTGCCTGCTCCAGAGACACTGGCCCGTGTGAGATGATGAAAGTGACGGGCCCTGTCCACAGACGTGCACGTGCAATGCTGTGACTACCCCTGCAGGCTCATGGACCCCAGACCACCACGCTTCAGGAAGCCCCTGGTCTTGCAGCAAGCAGAGGCCTGGAGGACCCAGTCGGGGGAGCTGCTGTGGAGCCCGGCCGGTGCTGGGGGGTGTTGGAGGCGTGGCTGGGAGGGGGCTCGTGTGGCGGTTCAGAGCTCAACCCTGGCACGGAGAACCTGTGTAAGAGTCCTGCCTCAGACACCAATCAGCTGCATGACCGTGGGCAAGCAACCAGAGGGGGTTAAGCAAGGCCCTGGAGCCAGATGCTTGTGGGCTCAGCACCCCACGATGGAGGCGGAGGCAGAGCCGGCCCTGAAGCCCCACAGACAGGGGACAGGGAGGCGGTGCCGCTCTGTGTTAATCCAGCCAAGCATCAGCACAGGGTGGGCCTCACTGTGCCCTTGGCTAGAGTCGGGGGGGCTGGCAAGGCTGCCGTTTCCAGGGGATGGTCCCGTCCTATCTCACGAGCAGCAGGGACCACTGGTCCCCCTCCTTCCTCGTGAGGGGAGGGGTTCAGAGCCTGTGTTGACAGTAACCCATGGCCGTCCCCCAACAGCTGGGCTGGAGGGACTCTTGACAGGTGGGTGTGGATGGTATCATAGGGACAGTGGACAAGCTATGAGGAAGAAGCTATGAGTTAAGACGTCTGTGGAAGCTGGGTTGAGGGGCGAGGGCAAGAGGATGGGGGGCTGACGAAGCCATTTCTGGGCCCCCAGCGAGCCGCCCAGCTGTCTCTGTTCTGCCTGGGAGACACCCCCACAGGGCTCAGGGAGGGTGGCTCACGTTCTGTTGTGGTGCCACCTGATGTCCCGTTCAGAGCCTCGGGTCCCCCCACCCCGGTGCCTGCAGGGCTGAAATTCAGCTGCATACATTAAGGCCGGTGGCAAGCCAAGGCCTACGGGTTCCGAGGCCGGGTAACAGAACTACCCGCGTCCCAGCTCCCACGTGTCTGAGAAGCTCCACGGGGTTTGCAGGGCTGGCCCCTCAGAAGCTGACTGCCAGGCCTTCCCTCTGAGGCTCCGCTGGGCAGCTGCGAGAAGGTCAGCAGGGTGCCGCTCCCAGGGCCCCAGCAAGAACGACCTGACGACTCACCACACACACCTCCACTCCGGGGCCACCTCAGCAGGTTCACCGGGCGGGGTTCTGGAGCTACCGAAATGGTGTGCTGACAACCCTGCTTTGTAAAACCCAAAGAGGGGCATGCTGTTCGTTGTGAAGGGATCTGAACTCTGAGCCCTGAGCACGCAGGCTACAGCTCTTTTCACAAGACGTGGAAAGACTTGGGCAGCTTGGTGTGGGAGCCTGGTCAGGCTGGCAGCTTCCCGCACCACACCCACAAATGTTCACTGTCCCTGGCCAGGAGTGGCTATGTGGCTCGGTCAAAGGCCCCCTGACACCCACAGTCCCACTTTGCTCAGCTGCCTGGGCCACCGTGAGAGGCACAGGGTCAGCGGCATCCACTCCTCTTCCCCCTTCTTCCAGGGTAAAGGTGATGCAGCCCTGCTGACCGGCTTGGGGCACAGGAAAGACATAACGGAAGAGGAAGTGGAGAACAGCCACCCCAACAGTGGTGGAAGCGGGTGGATGCAGCGAGAGGAGGGCCGGCTGAGCCCCATCAGTAACCTCACTCCCTCCTGACCCCCCCACTCCAAAGCAACAAAACGCTGTGTCAGCAGCTCCCAAGAAACAATGGGGCTCCACTGGGTACAGGGATGCCACAGGCCTCGAGATGGCGCCAAGGCAAGACAAATGTCCACAATGTCCCCTCTTCCTAAATCCTGCGAGGGGACAGGCGAGGCTCCTAGGCCCCAGATGAGGAGGCCGCGGGGTGAGGGAAGACCAGTACCTCTCCCCTGACCCATCGGAGGAACCCCGAGTCCCTTTCTCCAGAGGACGGCTGGGACTGTCCCAGCTGAACACATGCTCAGGGCATGAGACGCTGCCCAGGACGAGGCAGAGGCAGGGCCAGGTGGCAGCAGGCACCAAGTCTGTCACCGAGCGTACGTTTCCACCAGGCCGCCAGCCCTGCTGCGAGGGAGCTGTGTTTGTTGGAAACGCCCCCTGTGAGCACAGCAGTGGTGAGCTCTGGGTGGCTGCCAGGGCACCCCTTGTGCACCCGGGGCTCTTGGCTCCCCAGGGGTACAAAGGAGGAAGGGTGACTTCAGCTAAAAAAGGCAGCAGGTGCCACACGGCCCCTGATACGGGTGGTGAACGTCTCCTGAGAGGCAGGCCAGGGGGAGAAAGCGACTGAAAGATGGGATGGCTCACAAAAGGAGCCAAGAACAGCAGAGTGGCCGACTGCCCCAGCCCTAGCCCCGGACACAGCTTCCAGGAGACCTTCCAGCCCCAGGCCAGATGCTGAGCCTCTTCCAGGAGCTGGGAGCCGGGGCAGTGGGGTGAGGGGGAAACGGGGAAGGGAGCTTTCCCCTGCAACTCAGCCACCTCTCACAGGCCAGTCGCCAGACACTCCCACACCGACGCTACTCCTTAAGTCTAAGTAGGAAGAGTAACAACAGCAGGAAACCAAGGGTCAGGGAAGGGGCCACCCATCAGGCGTGGCTGGGCTCACTGTGGACAAGGTGACAAGTGGGGACGTGATGTCAAGCCTGCTCTGACCCAGCATAGCAACTGGGGAACTGTCAATCCTCGCCACGACCCTCAGGGAAGCAGCTCCGGCAGGGGCCCCTGCTGCAAGTCCCACCGGTGCCGTCATTTCCCACACCTTCAGCTGAGCCGGGGTCAGCCCCCTAGGGGCAGGAAGCCAGCAGGAGCCCTCCCTCTCTCTCGGCTACCCAACTCCAGTGGGTCCTAGGCGCTATGGGGGGTGGGGTGTACTCACTGTGCGCCTCCACTGGGTCCATCTGCGTGCCGTATGGGACCAGGGGGCAGAGTGTACTCACTGTGCGCCTCCACCAGGTCC